AAAAAATGGTGAAGCGTTTTTGTGAGTTTTTCTCCACGTAAGAACTTCTCCAAAGGTTTTGAATGCCCAGTTGTCATTATCTCCTGACATTTTTTTCTTATCAGTCAAAATGTTCATATGCTACTAATGGAGGTTAAATAGAAAATGCTGAATGCACCAACTCAAAATAATAAGGAAATGACACTTTTTAGAGAAAAAAAGTTAGAGCAGTACTCTGTAAAACAGGTTCACCGTTTCTCATTGTCTATGAATTTTAAAATACTGCTTTTTTACTTCAAGCTTTCTCTAATTCGAAAGATTGCAGAAATTTTTGACCTTCAAAAAGCTGTACAAATTAATCGTTTCAAGATGGAATGTATATCTTCCTTACTTATCAGAAAGCAATGCAGATGCTGCACCTACAACTTTTGCCTTTTCTTACCTATAATCCAGAGGAAGTTCATAAGGATGTGCCTCTTCTCATGACACCCAAGCATTACAGATCCTTCTGCTGCAGGTGTTAGGCCCGCCAGTGGTGAGGGAGAGAGCTAAGCGCCCCGATTTCTTGATATACCACAACTTTTAGAAGCACCATTTAGGTGGACTTTGCAAAGAGCTTCCTCGAGAGCTTCTTCGAGACACCCGGATGCACCGATATCAAAGCTGCCTAGAGGGCCTTCTCAGTGGCTAGGTGAAGAGCCTGTGCCTTCTGAACTTTGCCCATTTAAAGGCACTTGAGAAGCCACCTGAGATGTGAACAAGGCATCAAATAGGGAATCCCTTTTAAACATTCTTTTCTCTTTGGTGTCTGTCACTGTGACTTATTGTGCAGAAGCTCAGATGTCTCTCACATAACACAGCCAACTATTCTCTATCTGGCAAACCTTTTGCAAATGTCTTTAACCCTTAATGGAAATCTTCCTATACAATTTCTTTGTTAATATTTGCACAGAGGAGGTGAAGGGAGTCACTTTAATGAGTCCTGTCGCCTACTTCTATCCTACTGTGTCCTAATTCTTGGTCCGTCTTCTGTGATTTACAAACGTGATGTCAGGGCAACATTCCTACCGCCCCTACTACTACTGCTACTACTTAGCCTTCACCCACTCATGGATTGTCGCCGAACAGGTCCTTTTGTATAATATACGCATGCATAGGCATTATGCTCACATCAAGGTTGCCAAAGATGATTAATCAAGTAAAATGGGGAGGTTGTGGTACTCTTTCTCCTCCTCCACCTCCTCCTCTATGGTTGTCTCAATGGAAAGGTCTTCTCCGCGCGCACTTTCAAGTTACGTTTATAAAGTTTTGTCAATTTCCACCACTGTGCTACTGTGCAATGTTGATATTGCTTTTTTTGGTTTTAACTTTTGCTCTGGATATTCTACTTAAGAAGAGGGGAACGTCAGATCTCTTATAGGTTGATTTTTTCATCCCTGAAATAATGCCTGAGTTAAAAACCAGATTACATAAAAAGATGATCTGTTGCTAATCGTTAAGCTGTCAACTAAACAAAGCGATGAAAAAAGCAATTCATTTGTTATAATGTAGTTTTATGATTTAGCGCTTTAAAACCCAGCCAATAAGGTGAAGGTGTTAAATAGACTAATTTTTTGAAAAGATTGCGGAATCACTAAGAAGAAGCTAAAATGTTTCTTTAGTAATGTTGCATTCGTCTGTATTTTTATGCTCGAACAAAACATAACTGTAGCTGTGCCTAAACTGCCAGGCAGTTAAAGTGTTCACGACGTCTTTTGATAAAGCTCTAACCAATAACATGTTGGAACTTGGAGAAAGTGTAGGAAGGTGTCAGTTCATCAAA